ACCCATGGTTAACTGTACCACCTGTACCACAGTTATTTCATTGCCTATATTTTACAACATATTGGCTGTATTTGCACAATACTAACCGAAGCATATTTTACTCAGTCTTATTTTCTGTGTTTTCATGAAACCACTGAAGCACAAAGTGACTATATGGACACCAGGCTAAAGTAAAGTATGGTTAGTTTATGGTTCAGCATATCATGTGAACACAGCCTCTGTTCACTATTAAGATGTAGCCTATTATGTACCCAAATGCCCAGTATTTTCTTCCCCTACCTACTCTGGCCTTCCTCCCAACAGCAGATACAAAGTAACTTAATTTTTGTATCCACAGCTTCTTTTTTCATCCACATGCACTATTTTCTGTCTATGGTTTCAGTCACTTCTTTTCCTTCGTTGCCAACTTATTTTCTGAGCATTGCTTTCTAGTCAAGAGTAAAGTATATTTCTCTTTCTCCAAACCTTTCTGGATTGGAATTCATGCTGGCATACTGAAGTTTCCAATTTGGAATCCAATGCACTCACTTTTACTGCGCCATAACAAATGTTCATTTGGAAATATTGCCCTGTTACACTACACAGGAATCTAGATGTATGATCCTCTGGTGACTGTTTTAGTGCACCTACATTCATGCCAAACCTAAGGGAAGGGAAAAGACAGAATATATTGCAAATTATAACTGAACTGAACTGAGTCCTAATCGCAGAAATATTTCTTTAGGTAACATGCATTTTCTTTTTGCTTTGCTTTTGCTGTAAACATTTCTTTACAGTAAACAAAGCAACAGTTTGCTTTCACATATCCTCACTATCAGTTTCTACTGGCCTGATTGGAACAAACTGCAGTGCTGTAGTTCAAAGTCAAGACAAAAGGAAAAGTCAGATTCCACTGGCTACAAGAGGTCATGATATCATTCTGTCACTGAATAGAAAAACAATAACAACATGTGATTGTGCAGGAACATGAAAAAAACATGCCAGGAAAGCAACGATACCAACAGCTGAGAAAACCATTGCAGTTTTTTTCAAACCCCAATGTTTAGTTATTTGGGATAGATTTTTACCTCAGTAAAATGGCTAATATGATTCATGAGTATACATGGTATACAGTGCTGTCTTCACTAAGGGGTAACTATTTCATCCTCCTGCACCTTCCCTACAGCTCCTTGGAAGATAAAAATGCTGCCACTGCTTTTCTCCAGAGAAATCTATTTCTGTCCTGGCTTATTGAGAAAGCTACTAGCAATCTTGCCCTTTTCACTAGTTGATCTGACACAGCCTACCCAAACACTTTCCCAAGCAGAAGTATGGCCAATTCATTATGAATTCAAGTATTTATTACACCCAACAAGGTTAAACAATCAAAAGTAAAAAGTACAAAAAGAAAAAAGATACCCCCCCCCCCACACAAATAATGACCTCTGGAAAATTTGATTTTGGCCCACTGTTCCTTTATCCTGAGTTTACCCTATAATTTCCACATTCAAATCACAGCCCATAAAATAAAATCAAAATTCTAATCCACAAGTAGCTTTACTATTCTACAGTTTCCTGTATAATTCCTGAACTTCAGCATGGACATATGTGAGTTCTGGCTTCTTTGCTTACCTGGATATTAAAGAGCTCAATAGGATGGACAATAGGCAAAAACAAAATGGAGCTCTCCCTTTCCTGTTTTTAAAAACTTCATCAAGGGAGAAAACTGCCCTTCCAGTCTGGCTCATTTTACTTATGATTTTCCCAGACTATGAATGTCTTTGCTCACTACTTGGATTGACCATTCAATTCATTAACTCTACCAGTGCCTGAACCTCTTGGAATGGCACTTCTCCCACTATTTTGACTCTGATAATCTGAACATTAAAACTACAATTCTACATAGCTGTGATTGAAATAATAAGCAGTAGTTCTGTGACAGCAGTGTTTGAAAAACAGCAGTGTCAATTTCATTTTAAGCTGGAATTAAGGTGACAAGCTGAGATTCAAGGTAAAGCAGAGCAAGTATTTAGCAACAATTATTTAATTACATAATAACCTAATGTGGCTATTTATAATTAATGCGAGCTGTGAGCAGGAAACTTTTATTCCACCGTTAATGGAGAAAACATCTTCTGCCATTACTGTAGTGCATTTTTTGTATGACCTTTAGCTTGTACACGGAAACAGGCTGCTGATATTATAGTGGATCAGAAACAGTGCCAAAAAGCATGAAAGTCACATTTCAGGCAAAGGAAAACCCAAAGGATATAAACAACATGACATTACATAGCTACAGTGAAGACCAAAATAAGGACTATGTCAAAATTAGAAAGAAATAAAGAAAGTATTTAGAGTGTCCCCCACCCCTAGTTTATCACTTCTTGCAAGTATGAAAGTCATGGGTCAAAATGAAGCAGTCTCATATCATATGGATTGCCTTCATGTTTTCATAGAGTTGCAAGAGAATTCTTCTAAACCAGAGATTCCCAAACTTGGCAACTTTAAGACTCATGGACTTCAACTCCCAGAATTCTGGAGGTTGAAGTCCACAAGTCTAAAGCTGCCAAATTTGAGGACATCTGTTCTAAACCAAGAGCCTGAACTGTACCAGAATTTTCACGGCCTGGAAAAATGTCTGCCCAATTTTCTTGAATATTTCCAATGATGGAATGTGCATGCTTCAATGGCCTTTCCACTGTTTAATTGTCAGCCCTCCAAAGCAGACTGGACCATCAGGATGTCTAGAACTACTTTTATTGAGATTGACTATTCTGGAGTTTCTTAAAGATTTCAGTCAATGGTTCTGTGAGAACACTGCCAGTTCTTTTGGTGGCCTAGTGATTAGAATGCAGTATTGCAGGCTGACTCTGCCCAGAGCCAGGAGCTCTATCCTGACTGGCTCAAGGTTGACTCAACCTTCCATCCTTCCAAGATTGGAAAATGACAACCCAGATTGTTGGGGGCAATATACTGACATTATAAACTGTTTATAGAGAGTGCTCTAAAGTACATACCATAAGTCTAATTAGCTATTATCTATTGCTAATATCTGAGAAGTAATCATTGGGTATATAACACTTAGATTCATTCAGAGCAACCTGAATCCATTTCCATTTGGAATTTAACAATGATTAATCTAAGAAGCTTAAGCATGTAAATCTAGCAATAGAACCCACTGAATTTTCATTCTCCTATGTTCATGGCTGTCCATTTATGTGAGAGAAAACAAAATGTGGGTTATTGTTGCCCTTGCTTTTTGTTTCTTGCTTCCTGATGGTTAAAGTCCAAATGGAAATGGATTCAGGTTGCTCTGAATGAATCTAAGTGTTATATACCCAATGATTACTTCTCAGAT